GTTACAATTTGACTTCCGTCTTGGGAAAACATGACAGAATTCACAGAACCCATGTTGTCATCCAGCTTTGCTTCCATCTCACCGGTTTTCATGTTCCAGATCCTAACCATGGAGTCAGAGGAGCCAGTTGCAATTTGACTTCCATCCCGGGAGAATGTGACAGAATTCACGGAATCCATGTCATCATCCAGCTTTGCTTCCACCTTGCCAGTTTTTGCACTGCAGATCCAGACCATTCCATCACCCATTCCAGCTACAATTCGCCTCCCATCCGGAGAGAACACAACAGAATTCACATAGTACCCAGTGTTGATAACAAGCTCTGCGATGCCCCATGAGTTGAATAGTCCCAGTGTGAATTTTGGTGCATGAGGGACATCTGTGGCATAGACATTGCGTATCAAAGATGTCTTTGGAAGCCAAACAAGAGCAGATTGGTAAATCTGAAAACAATGTGTCTCAATGCACTCAAAACTTGCTTGCAAGCATCGGCGAGCGTCTTCAACAAGTAGCTCGAGCTCATCACATCGAGTATCCTTTGATTTGAAAGCCTAGCAGCCAGAAAACAGTGAGTATGTGATTCCTACCTTAGATTGAACCACTTACAGATAATGTGGTAACTGCATCTGCAAGAGATTCCACTGCTGTGGGAAGCTCCCCCAGTGCACTCAGACACTCGATCCAATGGAGAAGATGTTGGTGGCAAAAGACATTGAGTGCAGTGATGAGTTCAGGACCAGGTCTCTGTACCTCCGAAATATGGGAAGCCCAATACAAACATGCATATTTGAGTGCTTCTGGAATTGGAATTTTCCCAGTATTGTTTGAAGAGTTGGTCCTTCCTCTGCGGGACACTGTCAAATCTTCAGGAACACCCCACAGGTTACGATGCAGTGATTGATTCATGAGGCCCAAGCATTTCAAAGCCAGCATTGTGTGACTGTCTTCAGTGGTCAGGGCATGAAAATTAGGAGAACGTGCAGTTGAACAACGACTAGGGTCAGTGACAAAATCCGGGAATGAGGCATGGAAAGGAGTGACAGTATAGGCGGGGTCTTCATTGCTTGGAACATGAATAACGGACGTTAGACATGATAAATGCAATGATGCATCTGTGTCCGATAGAGAGCCGAGGGCTTGGATCGAGAGCGGGGTTCGGAGGAAAACGACCATCGACATGATGAGCCTCATGCAAATAATTTCATCCTCCTCCAAATTATTGCATACTTGTTGCATAATGAGTGCGTAGAGGTCATCAATACCAGACAGCTTCTTCCCTGATTTGGAATCTTGAGCTATAGCAGAGAGGCGGGATTTGTACAATGCAGCACCACTCTGGATATAACGAATAGCAGTTGCTGCATAGATGAAGAGAGGGCTGGATTGCTCAACCAGATTGGACACCTCTGACAGCAAAGGCCATGTCTGCCCTGCAGTGTTCTTTCCACTCTGCTTGTGTATGTGCTGCAATGAAACTTTGACATACTTGACAATGTCATCCTTCACGATGTCCTGTTCGACTTCGTGAAGATAAAAGGCTTCTGCAGACTGGCTGTCAAAAGCTTGGCGAATCAAATAATCCTCCCGACTAGCAATGAATATTTTGAGAGGGAGTTTGGATCCCCATGTGAGGATGAGCCGAATGAACGATGATACGAGTGGAAGATTGTGGCATTCATCAAGTCCATCAATGACAACAACTTTGTACCACTGGGTTGTTTCCCCAACGGCCTGTCGGATGGGTTCAACGATGAGCTTGCGGAATTGGTCGTCAATTTTGATATAAGTGGGTTCCACGAGAGCAGGCTCGCCCTCGAGGGCTTGTATGACCTTAGATTTGATAGAGGGGGAAGCACTGGAAAGTGCATGCACAATTGTGGGGATGATGAGGCGTACATTGTTTGCATTCTCAGAAGCACGAGAACAGAAGAAGCTGGCACCGAGTATTTGTTTCTCGTCGAGTATCTCACAGAATGTCTGCGCAATTGTCGACTTTCCAGTGCCAGCAGCTCCTGCCATCCAGTAAACCTTTTTGCTGTCCTGGTTCAAGGCCCAAGCATCTAAATCTGTGAGGATCTGGGTGCGCGTGCCTTTCATGCATCCGGTGGGATCTCCGTAAGATGAATGGCGGGTCTTGTAAGATGTCCCTGCATGGTTGAGCTTGCTGATAGAACCTGTTTAAATGAGCTCCATGTCCAGCAGAAATTGAAGAGTGCATACTGTCATGCTTCAGATGCTGTGGATATATTGTATTATTAACTTGAATCGCCTGTTCGAAGGAGAGAGTGTACCTGCAAAATCTCATCTACCGTGACATTGGTATTCAGCTGGGTATCCATCTTCGGGATACAGTCAATAAATATATATATACATATAATCCGGACGGCCAACCTGGAAGATGTCGCACAAAATGTTCATATTTCGGAAGGCCTTTGTTATCTTTTCCACGTCTTTTGTCCCCTCTGCGGTCCGCATCCAGAGCGGATGATTTTGCAAGTCGTTGACTGCTTCCATTTGATGTACAATATTTCTGAAAACAAAGTGAATATTAGAGAAATAGGAAAAAACAAGGACTTGACTCACTCGCAAAATATTTTGATTCTGGAATGGAGTGTTGATATTCCACTGTGTGTTTTATATGTTTCGACAGTTGAGAGGATGGAGTTGAGCTTGGCTTCAAGTTCTTCGAGTTCCTCTCTGTTTGCAGACACCCTCTGCGCAGACAATATTATTATGCGAAGAACAAACTCCAGTCTGAATCACACGCACCTCAGCGATGCCAGCGATGGTCAGGAATATCCCCGCTGAGGTCTTCAGCGGCAGAAACATGTCCGAGCAGTCGTAGAGACCCTGGACAATGGCAGTGAGTCCTGCATAAGCTGCGCTGCCCACTCCGTTACGGCCGGGTCTCGACTCCGTCGCGGCGGCCTCGGTGTTCGGCTCTGCGGATTGCGACGTCTGGGAGGTTTGAGGACTCGGTGTCGATGGGACAGATGGCAGAGAGCTGGTGCGACCGACGGACATGGCTAGCCCGGTTGCCTGCAGCAGACCGGATTCCAAAGGCTTCCCACTCTTTTTCTTGCTCTTGCCTTTGAGGAAACTCTTCATGTCGAAATTCGCTGCAAGTGTAGACGTGGGGATGAGGTGGGAGCTGGTGAGTACGGTGCTAGCCACGCGCCAAGTCCCAAATATAGAAGGCTCCCGGCATCCGGCTCTATCATCCGACCTCGTGCCTTCTGCCGCGCGTTGGCCGTGATTCTTGTCAGGGAGAGCCTTGATTCCTCCGCTCAGAATGTTCTCAAGTTGTCTGCCAATCCTGGACGCCTCCGTAATGGAGTGACGGAAGGCGTGAATATTCATTGGCTCAGAGGCTCTCCGAATGGCGCGAAATCGAAAGTGCCCGCATTTGGTTCGAATATCCCATATCGTTGGTTTCGAGTGCGGACAGGTGGAAGAGAAGATCGGGGGGGTCGTGTATCTCAGGCCCCAAGGCGTCCAATGCGTACACGTGTAAGCCGCGCCGTGTGGCGGCGGTCCTGGCATGAGCAGGTGTCGCGGTGTTAGTATATGTCAGTTACTATTTTTGGACATAAAGAAGTTCAGCCGGCGATAGGAGCCCACGATGTGAAGGGTAAAAGGTACCGAACGTCCTTACTGGATAAGCTCTGGATGGAGCTGTTTCACCGGAATTGCACAGTGGCAGCGCCGTAGGTGAAGGCTATGAAGATCCTGAGTTTGTGCTGAGCGACAACTACGACAAGAACAAACCTCACCCAAGAAGTATGTAGTGTAGAGTGTTCAAGTTGGAGATTCCACAAGATCTAGGCGTGAATCTGCGTTGATTAAGGCCGGCCAGTTGGATGCGACCCAGCAGTGGCAAGTCCAAGAAATCCATCTAAGAAAGACCGAGCGAAACTGCGGTGCATGTATCCCTCTCATTTGGAGTTGCGTGAAAGCAGGGCTTCCGGGGTCGAACTTCCAAGATCCAGTTATGTGGAGGCTGGAAGAACCGCCATCCGCTAACAGTCGGAGAAGCCTCATCATATTCAAACAGATTATAAAGGACGAGCAGGACAGACCCGAGAAAGAACCGCAAAGCGGATGGATTCAAATTACACGGCCAAGACAAAAATTGGTCCTTACCCGCCAGCGTGCCGAAATGGATTATTGCCATGGCGGAGTAGGTTTGTGCGGACGTATGTTACTGTGAGGAGTCCGAGCTTTGGACTATATCCCTCAAATGTTGCAAGATTGTGCGTGAAAGTCCGTGAGTTGCGAGCGGCAAAGGTGGCATGAGCATATAACGAGAGCAGACCACGGCCGAGGACGGGAAGCAAATTAATTACTCACGGCTTTGGGTGACGAGAGGGGGAGATAGTTCTCCGAATTGTGATCACTGGTAAACATTGCGCTATATCGAGGTACACAAAGGACGTAAATTTTCAGGATTGCAGCATATATGGTTTGTCCTTGGTGCCGGGTGTCATTTCGACGTAGAAACGAAGTTCCCAATTCTGGGCAAGAGGGAGAGTAAGACGTCGCGATAGAGGAGCGGGATGGCGAGGGATTGTTAAGCATGAGATTTGCGACCCAGTCGCGTTGAATCAAGTGTAGCTGCGCCTCTGAAAGCAGCGCTCCGTGCTGTCTTCGATTTTCTAGTTTTCGATTCCCCACGCCATCCCGGTATAGCTCCTGCACTGATTCCCATCTGCGAAGCGGCACGGGTCCTTAGAAACGTTTCGCGGTAGGGAACCGTCGCTCAGGGAGATGTACCTGTTACATCGAAGTCCCTCGAAGGCGAACTCAAGCACGCTGAATTTCCCCAGCTTAGTGCGAAAGAAGGTCTGCGTTGCGGACTATGCCCGCGAGTTTCAATAAGCAAGCATTTTTTGAAAAAGAGAACAACGTCCGAGTCATCTCCACTACTGCGAACGTGGATCAATTGGTACATTTTCAACCTTCAGGGGGATACGGTAAAAAGCTATGTTCGAATCTATCTATTCGGACGCGGGGACTCGAACCCCGATCTGCCTCAAGACATTATCGACAATGCGGGACCAAGACAGGCCGTGCACCGTGCACCACGCCCGAGTTCCTTCTAGCTTCACGAACTTGGATTGCTGGATGACTTTCGAAGCCGCCGAAGGGAGAGAGAGAGAGAAAGGACAAGAGAATAATAATCGATCGCATACATTTCCGGGGAGAAGTAAATAAATAATGCAGTCTTCGAGCAATCGCGGAGATGCGAAAAGGACCGGCCTCTCACATTGGAAGGTCGCACCCTACCATCTCACGCCACGGCCATACCACGCCCCACGCCGCCGCCACACCGCCCACCTCGGGCTTCAGGCCGGCGTCGTACCCTCGGCGCGTCTCCATCCACCGCGCCACCGCCACCGAATCCACCGTCTGCCCGTACTTGGCGAGCACCGAGTCGGTCTTGCCCTTCACGCGCGCCTTGTCGCTGTGCGCGTGGTGCATAAACGCCACGCTGCTCGAGCTGCGCTTGTTCGGCACCAGCGAGACGGTGCGCAGCACGGGCAGCTTGGCTGCCACGTCGATGAATAATTCCTGCATACGCCCATAACCCCATAAGCGGAATTCAAGCGAGCATAGAGAGAGGGGGGGACGCACAACGGCATTGGAGGGCGCATCGTCGCGCACGTCCGCAGAGTTGACACTCATCTCGAGCTCCTCGAGCGCCTGCAGCTTCACGATCGCCTCCGCATTGTGCGCGCCGAAGCTCCAGCGCCCCGCCGCGCTCGATACGCAGCGCAGCAGCCGGAGCGACGCCGCGTGCTGCACCAGCACGCTCCGGAAGAAGCGGTCCGTGCGCACGGCGTCCGCGGGCGTGTGCGAGCTCTCCGCGTGGGGGTACCCCAGCGTCAGGCGCTGGAGGCCGGTGTACGACTCGAGGTACGCGAGGAGCGGGTCGCCGACGCCGCCCCTCACGGTGAGGTCCGTGACCCAGATCTGAGGGTGGTGTAGATGGGCGCGCAGACGGCGCCGCCGTGCAGGTGCAGCGTCCAGAGCTGGCGGCTGCGGATAAGAACGCGCGAGATGTGCCGCACGAGGGGGGCGGTGGGGCTGCGCGGTGGTGTGACTTTTAGCGTGCGGAGGCCGGAGAGCCGTGTTAGGGAGACGTCGACGGCGCGCTCGTCGCCGTTGTGGAGTTGGAAGTTGTCTAGGACTGTGAGCGAGTCGAGAAAGTCGATGAGGATGTCGCGGAATGCGCTGGGGGCGCCGCTTAGGTCGCACCATCTGCAGCTGCGTCTAGTTCAGATGATAATAATAATGATTCCGGCATAGAAAACAGATGACCCACACCACTGTCCGGAGCGTATCGCGCATGGCCTCTAGCGCGGGTGGGAGGAAGCGCGAAACCAGCTCGTGGTGTGCGTGCCGAGCCTCGAAGTCCCTGATCTCGAGTGTCCGCGCGTATCGGCGTCCGATCCGACGTCTCCCTGGCTAAGACCTCGAGGTACGATGCCTGCCCGTCAAACCGGGCTGGCATGCGCGCGAATCAAGCACCATCGGAGTCGCAGCACAGAAGACCGGTGGGACTGCGTCGTTCAGCAGCTTGCATACAGCGCGGAGTAGCGGCGGTGCCCATGGAGCCTGAGTGTCGTGAAATCGTAGCCAATGCTGAGCGGAAGTCAAGTCAACGATATGAAGACAGACCTGGGCGGCAATCTCTTGCAGCAGCTCTCGTGAGGTGGGAGAGGAGAGAGAGATGGATGACGTATGAAATTAGTCTTGTATATAGCCATGAATGATGCCGTGAGTCGACCGCGTGTGCGCGCTGCACCGGGGATCGTCATGGGCATTTTTGATTGTGGAAGAATCGAGTAAAAAGTGCGCGCTGGTGCTCTTATATATAGGGCCTCCCACGTGCACGGACCTCGGGTTTATTCGGCGTTCGGAGTTTCATCGCAAACAGTAACCATGGAATTTGTCTGGCTATATCTCATTTCAGTGCCGCTGCAAGCAAATATTTTGCTACATATCCCCGGAGTCGGATTCTATTTATATACAATAGCTTGTCGAGTGAGTGTTCCTGCGGAAGTTCGCATGAGGTTGATCGTCCCAAACTCAATAATTCAAGAACGGATCGATTGAGGCACCGGGTGCCGCCAAATTTATTGCTCGAGTGGGATTACCTAGTAGCAGAAACAACCGGGCTTTCAAGATTCGGGAAATCACCAGTTCGATCCCTCGCTCCAGAATTCCTCCGCTGCTGCCGGCTGTGAGCCTGAGGAAGCCCACAGTAAATACCTCAGGATATCTTCCAGTGGTATGCGTTCATTACGGGATTTTACGCTGGAAGTTCCCACTCTATCTCACACCAACTCGAAAATTAAGGTATCCTTGTCAAGCTTCTTCTTTCACCCGGTTCACTATTCTTTACATGTATGACCAGTAGACGCATGCATCCCGGTTGCAATAATCAACAGACGTGGAGCCTTTGGAGCAACGATGCAGAAGAAAGGGCTCGCACTGGCAGACGTCCGGCATTGAAGTTGAACAGTTGAAACCGTGGAACTGGCTATAGGTCTGCCTAAGAGAAATTCCTGCAAGATTAGTGGAGTGAAATCATTCTCAAAGTGGGTTATTCATGACAACTCAGTATTGATATTACTTCAAGATCGAGAGCCAGCGCTGACTCGGACGAGGCAAAAAATGACCGATATTCATGAAGTTCTTCCCCAGTTGGGACAACACAAGCTGCATGTATTCACCTTTATCCCATCGGTAGTAAAAATTCCCTGCCAACATTTCACTGCGTCAAAATGCCTGGGACGCCCCGGTTACGTGTAAATCGGAGCGTGGGAGTGATGGTGCGTGCTGTGTTTGCGTGAGCAATCCAAGCTTGCGTCTCTCCTTCACAACGCCTTTGACCGATGTTATCCCTGGACCGATGCGCCAGTCCAACGGCATACAGCTCTCCCCCGAACACCGCCATCACCGCTGGCTGTTCCTCCCAGGTGACTGTTTGAGACTCAAAGGGGTCATCCAGCGGTACGCCTCACATTAACCCGCGACTAAAATCTCTCTGCAGTCTATCCAGCCCCTCCAGCAGGTCGCAGCTCCATCACGCACGTCGGCGCAGATGTGCACGTCATCGCCGCCAACGGCTCCATCCTCCACGTCGTCACCCCCAAAGCCACCAAAGTCAGGGCCGCCGGTGTTCCCCGAGAGCTGGGTCACGTACGCGTTGTGGCTCAACGCCGGCCCATCGCGTCGTTCACGACGACGTGGAAGGTCCCCGCTGTACCGGCGGCAAACCACGGGTAGACTGTGTTCCTGCTCAACTTGATCGAGGCGACGCGATTCTGTAGCTTGCGCTCCAGGTGCGTTTGATTTCCACTCCTTTTCTGCTTCGCAGTACGGACTCTCGGCTGTAGGAGGAGGCGCGTTCTCGGCTCTCGCTACCTGGGTGCGACAACTCATTTCATTCCCATTGGACTCTCCACTTACGACTTCCTCCGTTGCTCGTACCTAGTCGGCGACCAACCTTCTTCACCACCCTCGTGCGCACCTCCTCCGCAGGCGCGACGCTCGACGGCGTCATCACCCTCACCTCCTCCGGCGCCTCATTCGCCTACACCTCATCCTTCGCAACGGCGCCGGCACCTCCCTCAGCATCTCCGGCGCCGCGCAACTCACCTAGGACACCGAGACGCTCGAAGCCTACGGTGTCACCGGCGCCAGCGACTAGCCCACCGGCCTCACCTCCTCCGGCACCGCCTTCGCCTACACCTCGTCCTTCAGCAACGTCGCCGGCACGTCGCTCAGTATCGCGGGCGCCATGAAGCTCACATGGGCCACCGAGACGCTCGGGGCCTACGGCGCCATCACCGCCTGTGACTACCCCACCGGTTGCTGGCATCGACTTAATGCTGAGTTCTAGGGCGGTGCCGACGGTTGCGCGGACCAAGGTTAGCGATACGGCGGATGGGTTGATCACCACCGTCAATACCGATGGTGCGACCAACGCCGAGATCACCATTGCGTACTAGGGTAGTGGGTGATTGGGAATTTATTAGGATGTATCTTTTGGAATTTTGGAATCGGTTGGAAACTGGGAATGTGCGCTTACGCTGGCTGATCTGCATCTTTGAGGGGTAATAATATAATTTCTCCCGTGTTCACTCGGGAATTCCCTCCATCTCTCGTCATTGCGTGAATAATGCAACGCACTTTGCAGCTTTCCAACTAGGTCTACTTATATATTTGCGAGAATAGCCCGATGAAGCTATGCCACTTCTGCCCCTCGGAAGTACTCCCTCTTCGGCAATGCAACGCACAGCAGTCAATGATTGTGATCAAGGGCCGCTTCCGGTTAGAAAATGGCACTTAAATACTTCGGATGAGACAAATATCATACGGGAAGATCTTCCATGGTTCACAATGAGATTCATTTCCCACTGCAGAGCATGCAGCTGCCGACACCCTCTGATATCGGTTCCGGTCTCTACCACACAGCCCAGTGTGAGACCAATGGGCGGGAAGGCCGTTACTTTTAAGAATGTTCAAGTTGAGTTCATCACCTCGCTCGATACTTTAGTTCCCGTGTGCCTGATTGAAATTTAGTACATAAATCCCGCTGTTTTACTCCCAGATGGTATGACTGCAGAAGAAAATTTAGGGTGCAGCACGGCGTGATAGAAGTTGAACTGCTGGAGAAAGTTCAGTATAAGTAGGGAACCCCCAGACAAGCCCCAAACATCGACATATCAGGACATTAGGGTTGAAAACGTTTAACTCAAGTTGAACCAGCCTCAGTTTGGGGGAGGGGTCGGCGGGAGATTCCTGGAAGGTTCGAGTCTAAAATAAATAAAATCAATAAAGGATTGAGTCAAGTTGACAAAATTTGATAATCGAAACAGGGCAGTTTTTGAAGCCACAGCTACACTTGACCACCGGAGCAGCAAAAAAATAACGGTAGTTGTTATTATAAAGTACAACGTAATTGAATGGAAACAATCGTCAACTGGGATCTGGATGAGCATGTCATTGTCTTAGACTTTCCCTTGGCTCAAGTTTCTTTGTGTATGTCTGCATAGAGAGATCCAAGATTCGATACTCCG